TCATCAGCAGCAACATCAGCAGGAGCATCAGCAGCAGCAGTATCAGCAGCAGCAGCAGTATCATCATCAGCAGCAGCATCATCAACAGGAGCATCGACAGTGTCATTCACTGTGTCTCCCCCCCCCCCACCCCGCGTGCCCCCCCCCGTACCCCCCCCGTACCCCCCCCGTGCCCCCCCCCCGTGCCCCCCCCCAGGCGGCTACCACCCGGTGTGTGTGGGCGAGGTGTACAGCGAGCGCTACCGCGTGGTGCGCAAGCTGGGCTGGGGACACTTCTCTACCGTGTGGCTCTGCTGGGACCTCGCGTGAGCACTACAACAACAACAACAACCGCCATTCGCCACTAAGTGGCGGTGACGTCACCACGACGCTTGTGCCAGACCATGTGCACCTTGAGGCCACGTGAAGTGTCGAACGCCCGCTGGCAGGAGGTCACGGGGCAGACCCAGCAGGTGCCACGGGTCGACTGACCGAGATGACCGAGATGACTGGCTGATGCACCAACTGTGCCCCCTAATGTGCCAACTTTTGCTGTGCTTTAGTCTCCCGGCGCTCCGCTCGTTGTTGTGAGCGTCGCTCCTGGAGGGCGACTGCCTCCATCTGCCCAGTAGCGTCCTTCACGAGCCTCCTCCACAGAGGCCGATCTTGACACCGCTGGTACCAGTCATCGGCAAGTCCACTCAGCTCCACGTCCTCCTGTACCACATCACTCCATCTCTCTCTAGCCCGTGCCGCACCTGTTAAGCCCCCTCGATCCAGCCGAACAAAAGCTGTTTAGGCATGCGGTGACTTGGCATGCGGGCTACATGACCCAGCCAACGCAGCCTTGCCTGCCGGAGGTGCTCACCGATGGGACTTTGTCCAGATCTTTCAAGGATTTGTGAGCTCCTCACACAATCCAACCTGGTTAAACCCAGGATGGATCGTAGGCAGGCCAGCCTAAATGTTTCTAACCGGCGAAGATGTTACATTAGGGGGGTCCACGTTTTGCAAGCGTAGAGAAGGGAGGGAATGACTGTCGCCTAGAAGACCTGAAGCTTCGTGCGGAGCGACAGACAAGGTAGCTTCCACACAGCGTTACGCAACCGATGAAATAATGCTGCTCGCATTATAATGCCGCTCGCTGATTCGGAGTGAGACCTCTGATGTTAAACCGGAGCCGGTCATAAACACACTACCCAGATATGGGAAACTCTCCACTCTCTCCACAACTGCCCCATCACCAGATCATCGGCATACATAACATGGTTGAGCAATAGGGAGCCATCCCTTGACCGCACCCGGGTATCGATCAGCCTCTCATTATATCTGTACCAGATGGAAATTCTTCCGGTACAGCTATTGAAGGCCTCACAAACTATGTGGTCAAAATAGATGTTAAATAATGTGGGAGCCAGAGGACATCCCTGTCGCACCCCAAGGTGTACAGCGAATGGCTCCGACTCGCAGTAGTTTTACCTGGGCCCGCTAACCATCATGAAGGTCCTTAATGATCGTGAGCAGAGGGTCAGGGACTCCGAAAGCACGAAGAACAACCCAGAGCCCAGGCCTACTGATGGTATCATAGGCCTTGACCAGGTCTTGTTGGAATCCCTACACCTCTGCTGTAGCAGACGGACAGAAAATATGGCATCCATGCAGGACTGCCCTTTCCTGAAACCACATTGAGGCTCTGCAATCCTCTCCTCAGCGTGCCTAACAATGTGCCAGGAAAGATCCTTGCCAGGACCTTTCCTGGCACATTGAGGAGTGAGATGCCCCTTCCAGTCCTGCGGAACCCGTCCAGTGGTTCAGACTGTTGTTATGATGTCATGTAGGGCAGTCTGTGCACAAACGCCACCCTCCCTCAGCATTTTACTTGGGAGATCATCTCTGCCCGGTGCCTTTTCTGGTCTCAGACTCTGGATCGCCTTCAGTACTTCCCAACAGATGGCACCTCAGCCAGCCACTCACAGGGGGTGACTTCCAATATTTGGGGCACCGCAGCCTCCACAGGGTCATCCCCACTTTGTCCCATGATGTTTCCCATGTTGAGGGATTTCCCCTCCCCCAGGACTTCATAGAAATGCTCAGCAAATCTGCAAACCTGTTCCTGGGGATCGGAGATTGGATCGCCGTTTTTTCCCCTGATGATGGTAATAGGTGTGTTGCTGCAGGTTACTTTTTTGATGGAGTTAAAAAAAGATTTGTGATCGCGGGCCACTGAGGCAGACTCCATCTCCACAGCAACCAATGACCACCACCCATCCTTGCAGTGCCTCACGGCTCTCTGAACCTCCGAGCGAAGGCTGCAGTAAGCCTCCTCATTTTCTGACGTGGGATGCTGGAGACGATTAGAGTGGGCCTGTCGCTTTTTCTCAACCATCCTGAACACCTCTGTCAGCCAGGGTCTCTGGGGAGGTCTGGACCGCGTACCCAAAGCAGCCATTGCAGCTGCATGAGTCACAGTCCTAAACCTCGTCCATTTACCCTCAACATCAGGAGGAGTGGGGGACGATGCCAACCCCAGCTGCAAGTGATGATTACAGATGACAAGTCGATGGTCAGAGGGCAGATCAGCTCCACGGTAGGTCCTGGTGTCAAGGACATGGGCCCACATCCGCTGGTCTGTCACTACGTAGTTCAGCAGATGTTCTTGCTTGGACTTGGCATGCATCCATGATGTTGTGTGGATGCACCGATGCCAGAACAGCGTGTTGGTAATTACAAGCCCGTGGGCTGCACAAAAATCTAGCAGCGTCCTACTGTTATTATTGAGCTTATCTGGCCCATGCCTTCCAATCACTGCAGACCAGGTGCCAGCATCATGACCAACTCGGGCATTGAAATCACCCAACAAGATGACTCTATCCCGAGGGGCCACTTTAGCCAGCACCTGTGACAGGAGGTCATAGAAGGTATCTAACTCATCGGCCTTGCCTGCATCCCTCCACGGATGTTCGTCTTCGGTGGGGGCATAAGTAACCACGACCACCGCTCCTCGCCTCTGGTTGATAGGAAGGCGAGCTCAAAGTAGCCTGGGGCTTACAGCTTCCCACACCTCACCGCCACGCTCTCACACCCCTTCATTCTTTTGTTCAGAAGAAGAGCCGCACCCTGATGTTTGGCAGTCTCCTGCCCCGAGTAGAGGACTGTCCACCCCTCATGGTGGCAGGATCCAGAACTGGTCCACCGGACCTCCTGAATGCCACAGAGATCCAGGCGGTACCGGTCCAGCTCCCGACAGAGGAGTGGCAGCCTCTCATCCGCAGTCAGCATTCGAACATTCCACGTGGCCATCCATAGTGGCTTTTTGTTGTTTCTGGAGGAGCCCCAAGGGTAAAGATTCAATCTCTTGGCTCTGCCAGATGGGGTTTGGCCAGGAGATGTCATAGAACACACACACTCTCTCACCCCACTCACCATATACTCACTCACTCACCCAACACTCACTACCCACTGACTCACCATTTTGGTGGTGGTCAGGTTGGTGATGTTGATGGTCATGATGGTCATGATGGTGATGATGTTGGTGATAGTGATGATGTGATGTTGTTGATGTTGTTGATGTTAATGATGATGGTGATGTTGATGGTGTTGATGGTGTTTGATGTGATGATGTTGATGATGTTGGTGATGTTGTTGATGGTGGTGATGTTGATGGTGGTGATGTTGATGGTGGTGATGATGTTGGTGATGTTGATGATGAGCAGGGCGAGTGAGATTGTGGTGATGTTGATGGTGTTGGTGATGTTGATGGTGGTGATGATGTTGATGGTGGTGATGATGTTGATGTTGGTGACGTTGAGCAGGGCGTGTGAGATGGTGGTGATGTTGATGTTGGTGATGTTGATGCTGATGATGTTGATGTTGGTGTTGATGTTGGTGACGTTGAGCAGGGCGAGTGAGATGGTGGTGATGTTGATGGTGGTGATGTTGATGATGTTGATGGTGGTGATGATGTTGATGTTGGTGACGTTGAGCAGGGCGAGTGAGATGTTTATGTTGTTGATGACGTTGAGCAGGGCGAGTGAGATGGTGTTGATGGTGGTGATGTTGATGTTGGTGATGTTGAGCAGGGCGAGTGAGATGGTGTTGATGTTGATGTTGTTGATGTTGGTGACATTGTACAGGGCGAGTGAGATGGTGGTGATGTTGATGTTGGTGATGTTGATGGTGGTGATGTTGATGTGTTGATGTTGAGCAGGGCGCGTGAGATGGTGGGGATGTTGGTGATGATGATGGTGTTGAGCAGAGCGAGTGAGATGGTGGTGATGTTGTTGATGTTGGTGATGTTGAGCAGGGCGAGTGAGATCGTGGTGATGTTGTTGATGTTGATGGCGTTGAGCAGGGCGAGTGAGATGGTGGTGATGTTGATGTTGTTGTTGATGTTGAGCAGGGCGAGTGAGATGGTGGTGATGTTGGTGATGTTGTTGATGTTGTTGATGTTGAGCAGGGCGAGTGAGATGGTGGCCATGAAGGTTGTGAAGAGCGCCCAGCACTACACGGAGACAGCGCTTGATGAGATCCGCCTCCTGCGCTGTGTGAGCAGAACTCACCACTCACCACTCACTCACTCACCACTCACTCACTCGCCACTCACTCACTCACCACTCACTCACCACTCACTCACTCACTCACCACTCACTCACTACCTCACTCACCACTCACTCACTACCTCACTCACCACTCACTCACTACCTCACTCACCACTCACTCACCACTCACTACCTCACTCACTACCTCACTCACCACTCACTCACCACTCACTACCTCACTACCTCACTCACCACTCACTCACCACTCACTCAACACTCACTCACTCACCACTCACTCAACACCACTCACCACTCACTCACCACTCGCTCACCACTCACCACTCACTCCACTCACTCACTCACTCACTACCTCACTCACTCACTCACACTCACTCACCACTCACTCACTCACTCACCACTCACTCACCACTCACTCACTATCTCACCGACTCACCACTCACCACTTACTCACCACTCGCTCACCACTCGCTCACCACTCACTCACCCACTCACCACTCACTCACTCACCACTCACTCACTCACTACCTCACTCACCACTCAATCACTCACCACTCACTCACTCACTCACCACTCACTCACCACTCACTCACCACTCACTTACTATCTCACTGACTCACCACTCATCACTCACTCACCACTCACTCACCACTCACTCACCCACTCACCACTCACTCACTCACCACTCACTGATTTGATTGGCTGTCTGGGTGGTAGTGCTGTGATTGGTTGTCTGGGTGGTAGTGAAGTGATTGGCTGTCTGGGTGGTAGTGATGTGATTGGTTGTCTGGGTGGTAGTGATGTGATTGGTTGTGTGGGTGGTAGTGATGTTGGTTGTGTGGGTGGTAGTGAAGTGATTGGTTGTCTGGGTGGTAGTGAAGTGATTGGTTGTGTGAGTGGTAGTGACGTGATTGGTTGTCTGGGTGGTAGTGATGTGATTGGTTGTGTGGGTGGTAGTGATGTGATTGGTTGTCTGGGTGGTAGTGAAGTGATTGGTTGTGTGAGTGGTAGTGACGTGATTGGTTGTCTGGGTGGTAGTGATGTGATTGGTTGTCTGGGTGGTAGTGATGTGATTGGTTGTCTGGGTGGTAGTGAAGTGATTGGTTGTGTGAGTGGTAGTGACGTAATTGGTTGTCTGGGTGGTAGTGATGTGATTGGTTGTGTGGGTGGTAGTGAAGTGATTGGTTGTCTAGGTGGTAGTGATGTGATTGGTTGTCTGGGTGGTAGTGATGTGATTGGTTGTGTGGGTGGTAGTGAAGTGATTGGTTGTCTGGGTGGTAGTGAAGTGATTGGTTGTGTGAGTGGTAGTGACGTGATTGGTTGTCTGGGTGGTAGTGATGTGATTGGTTGTGTGGGTGGTAGTGATGTGATTGGTTGTCTGGGTGGTAGTGAAGTGATTGGTTGTGTGAGTGGTAGTGACGTGATTGGTTGTCTGGGTGGTAGTGATGTGATTGGTTGTCTGGGTGGTAGTGATGTGATTGGTTGTCTGGGTGGTAGTGAAGTGATTGGTTGTGTGAGTGGTAGTGACGTGATTGGTTGTCTGGGTGGTAGTGATGTGATTGGTTGTGTGGGTGGTAGTGAAGTGATTGGTTTGTGAGTGGTAGTGACGTGATTGGTTGTCTGGGTGGTAGTGATGTGATTGGTTGTGTGGGTGGTAGTGAAGTGATTGGTTGTCTGGGTGGTAGTGATGTGATTGGTTGTCTGGGTGGTAGTGATGTGATTGGTTGTCTGGGTGGTAGTGAAGTGATTGGCTGTGTGGGTGGTAGTGATGTGATTGGTTGTCTGGGTGGTAGTGATGTGATTGGTTGTCTGGGTGTAGTGATGTGATTGGCTGTCTGGGTGGTAGTGATGTGATTGGTTGTGTGAGTGGTAGTGAAGTGATTGGTTGTCTGGGTGGTAGTGATGTGATTGGTTGTCTGGGTGGTAGTGAAGTGATTGGTTGTGTGGGTGGTAGTGAAGTGATTGGCTGTGTGGGTGGTAGTGAAGTGATTGGTTGTGTGAGTGGTAGTGAAGTGATTGGTTGTCTGGGTGGTAGTGATGTGATTGGTTGTCTGGGTGGTAGTGAAGTGATTGGTTGTGTGGGTGGTAGTGAAGTGATTGGCTGTCTGGGTGGTAGTGATGTGATTGGTTGTGTGAGTGGTAGTGAAGTGATTGGCTGTCTGGGTGGTAGTGATGTGATTGGTTGTCTGGGTGGTAGTGAAGTGATTGGTTGTGTGGGTGGTAGTGATGTGATTGGTTGTGGGGTGGTAGTGAAGTGATTGGTTGTGTGAGTGGTAGTGAAGTGATTGGTTGTCTGGGTGGTAGTGATGGATTGGTTGTCTGGGTGGTAGTGACGTGATTGGTTGTGTGGGTGGTAGTGATGTGATTGGTTGTGTGGGTGGTAGTGACGTGATTGGTTGTCTGGGTGGTAGTGATGTGATTGGCTGTCTGGGTGGTAGTGATGTGATTGGTTGTCTGGGTGGTAGTGATGTGATTGGTTGTCTGGGTGGTAGTGATGTGATTGGTTGTCTGGGTGGTAGTGAAGTGATTGGTTGTGTGGGTGGTAGTGATGTGATTGGTGGTCTGGGTGGTAGTGATGTGATTGGTTGTCTGGGTGGTAGTGATGTGATTGGTTGTCTGGGTGGTAGTGATGTGATTGGTTGTGTGGGTGGTAGTGATGTGATTGGTTGTCTGGGTGGTAGTGATGTGATTGGTTGTCTGGGTGGTAGTGAAGTTATTGGTTGTGTGGGTGGTAGTGATGTGATTGGTTGTCTGGGTGGTAGTGATGTGATTGGTTGTGTGGGTGGTAGTGATGTGATTGGTTGTCTGGGTGGTAGTGATGTGATTGGTTGTCTGGGTGGTAGTGAAGTGATTGGTTGTGTGGGTGGTAGTGATGTGATTGGTTGTCTGGGTGGTAGTGATATGATTGGTTGTCTGGGTGGTAGTGATGTGATTGGTTGTCTGGGTGGTAGTGATGTGATTGGTTGTCTGGGTGGTAGTGAAGTGATTGGTTGTCTGGGTGGTAGTGATGTGATTGGTTGTCTGGGTGGTAGTGATGTGATTGGTTGTCTGGGTGGTAGTGATGTGATTGGTTGTCTGGGTGGTAGTGAAGTGATTGGTTGTCTGGGTGGTAGTGATGTGATTGGTTGTCTGGGTGGTAGTGATGTGATTGGTTGTGTGGGTGGTAGTGATGTGATTGGTTGTCTGGGTGGTAGTGATGTGATTGGTTGTCTGGGTGGTAGTGAAGTGATTGGTTGTGTGGGTGGTAGTGATGTGATTGGTTGTGTGGGTGGTAGTGATGTGATTGGTTGTGTGGGTGGTAGTGAAGTGATTGGTTGTGTGGGTGGTAGTGAAGTGATTGGTTGTGTGGGTGGTAGTGATGTGATTGGTTGTCTGGGTGGTAGTGATGTGATTGGTTGTGTGGGTGGTAGTGATGTGATTGGTTGTCTGGGTGGTAGTGATATGATTGGCTGTCTGGGTGGTAGTGAAGTGATTGGTTGTCTGGGTGGTAGTGAAGTGATTGGCTGTCTGGGTGGTAGTGATGTGATTGGTTGTGTGGGTGGTAGTGAAGTGATTGGTTGTGTGGGTGGTAGTGATGTGATTGGTTGTCTGGGTGGTAGTGATGTGATTGGTTGTCTGGGTGGTAGTGATGTGATTGGTTGTCTGGGTGGTAGTGATGTGATTGGTTGTCTGGGTGGTAGTGATGTGATTGGTTGTCTGGGTGGTAGTGATGTGATTGGTTGTGTGGGTGGTAGTGATGTGATTGGTTGTCTGGGTGGTAGTGATGTGATTGGTTGTCTGGGTGGTAGTGAAGTTATTGGTTGTGTGGGTGGTAGTGATGTGATTGGTTGTCTGGGTGGTAGTGATGTGATTGGTTGTGTGGGTGGTAGTGATGTGATTGGTTGTCTGGGTGGTAGTGATGTGATTGGTTGTCTGGGTGGTAGTGAAGTGATTGGTTGTGTGGGTGTAGTGATGTGATTGGTTGTCTGGGTGGTAGTGATGTGATTGGTTGTCTGGGTGGTAGTGATGTGATTGGTTGTCTGGGTGGTAGTGATGTGATTGGTTGTCTGGGTGGTAGTGATGTGATTGGTTGTCTGGGTGGTAGTGAAGTGATTGGTTGTCTGGGTGGTAGTGATGTGATTGGTTGTCTGGGTGGTAGTGATGTGATTGGTTGTCTGGGTGGTAGTGATGTGATTGGTTGTCTGGGTGGTAGTGAAGTGATTGGTTGTCTGGGTGGTAGTGATGTGATTGGTTGTCTGGGTGGTAGTGATGTGATTGGTTGTGTGGGTGGTAGTGATGTGATTGGTTGTCTGGGTGGTAGTGATGTGATTGGTTGTCTGAGTGGTAGTGAAGTGATTGGTTGTGTGGGTGGTAGTGATGTGATTGGTTGTGTGGGTGGTAGTGATGTGATTGGTTGTGTGGGTGGTAGTGAAGTGATTGGTTGTGTGGGTGGTAGTGAAGTGATTGGTTGTGTGGGTGGTAGTGATGTGATTGGTTGTCTGGGTGGTAGTGATGTGATTGGTTGTGTGGGTGGTAGTGATGTGATTGGTTGTCTGGGTGGTAGTGATATGATTGGCTGTCTGGGTGGTAGTGAAGTGATTGGTTGTCTGGGTGGTAGTGAAGTGATTGGCTGTCTGGGTGGTAGTGATGTGATTGGTTGTGTGGGTGGTAGTGAAGTGATTTTGTTGGGTGGTAGTGATGTGATTGGTTGTCTGGGTGGTAGTGATGTGATTGGTTGTCTGGGTGGTAGTGATGTGATTGGTTGTCTGGGTGGTAGTGATGTGATTGGTTGTCTGGGTGGTAGTGATGTGATTGGTTGTCTGGGTGGTAGTGATGTGATTGGTTGTCTGGGTGGTAGTGATGTGATTGGTTGTCTGGGTGGTAGTGATGTGATTGGTTGTCTGGGTGGTAGTGATGTGATTGGTTGTGTGGGTGGTAGTGATGTGATTGTGTGTGTGAGGGTATGAAGTGATTGGTTGTCTGGGTGGTAGTGAAGTGATTGGTTGTGT